ACTCGGATACGAATCTGAGGTGTCACATTGATATTTCAAAACATTTACTTGTACAAAATAGTGAACAATTTCAAAACTTTACTAATATTAAGAAAATATGATAATATATGTTGAATTGTGCTTCGTTATAACGAATTTAAGTCATAAAAATGTTTTATGAATAGTATTATACTGTATGAATAGTATCGATAATGTGCAAATAGTACCGTGAACAATGTATCGATGCACTGCTACAGTACCATGAACAGTGTACCGATGCACAAAAACATCAAATTTAAAATGTGTATCGATGCACTACTACAGTGTACCGATGCATTGCTACTATAATTTTAGCAAAACATATATAAAACTCGTAAAGACTTAACCTTTCATCACTATAAAGTTATCATTTACATAAATACGTTTAAACCGTTACAAAACTCAATCATATGATTTTACAAAACCGATTAGAGCATATCGGATTCAAATCTTTATTTACATGCCAACCACAATTAGTATTACAAAATACAAACTATGCAATTCTTTTCTAATCTGATCTTTGGAAAAGAGAAACTAACCTGTCTTGCTTAACTTTTATCATTCTTCCTCTTCTCGGAACCTACGTATGAAATAATCACACACTAAGTCGTTGACTTAGTGAGGAATAAAATATAATAATAATAATAATGAATTCTATATACATATGAACATATAATCTAGTTATTATATCATGTCACAAGTAATTCAGTGTAAATGATAATAGCATGATAACATGTAATAATGTAAACACTTTTGATTCCTTTTTTAAGCCCATGTATATTACTGAGAACTTTAAGGTACGTGAGTACATTGAGGTTGTGCACTATTATGCTGTCACCACAACTCAATCAATGTCCCGAAAGACCTATCCATATGTTCCTAAGAACATAGGTAACTATCCATATGTCCCGAAAGACATAGGTAATTATGTCCATATGTCTCGAAAGACATAGGTAATTCTGTCCATATGTCTCGAAAGACATAGGTAACCCTCGACTCTTGGCATGCGAACTATACCTCTAGCTCTCATATCACATAACATGGGCATTATCATTATGATTCATATCATTGCTCTTATGATCACATATTTTTTTTCTTCTGTCACATACCACATGTATGTGTAAACATTTATCTCATATCATATAACATGTATCACATATTTCTTATTCATGTAATCATATAAACATGTATTCTCATTTCATTCTATAATTCAATCTTATTTAGTTTTCTTCAATTCTCCTTAAATCATATGACTCTATTATTCATATAACCTTTACACATGTTTATTTAGTTGCCATCGTTTCTCATGAATTCACTTTCATCATATTCTCCTATTATTACGTATTTTTATCTCATAACTATATATTCACATAAACCACATAGCACATACAAGAACATATCCACTCATATAATCAAGCATACATACATTTCATGTCAATTACATACCTATAATCAAGACTTCATGCACTATAACTATCGGAAATAGACTTATCACAAGTCCAAATTTCCATATAATTTTATAAAATAAGATGAACTCACCTTAGCCTTGCTTTCTTTGATTCGATCCTAATTCTTTAATTGTTCCGGAACGGGATTAAGCTCTATATCTTTGCTCCCTTGGGTTCACGGTGGAGAAGAAGAAAACAAGAAGAAGAATAGAGTTTTCAGATAACTCCCCCCCCCCGCGTGATTCATTCTTATCAAGCGGAAAAAATATCTTTCTTGTCAAATGACCATTTTGCCCTTTAATTCCTTTGATAATTACTAACAACTTTCAGGAAATATTTCCAAATAAATCATTGAACTATTCTACTTTAATCACAAGATTCTAAAATTTTACAATTTAGTCACTAACCTAGTATTGAGGATGTTACAGAGGGATTTTTGCAAAAGGAAACATTTCTCCTAGAAACTCTAATAACTGCGTAAAAGAGTTACCAGTCCACCCTCTCAAGCATTTTAAGTGAAAAAGACAAATGCAAAAAGAGAGCTTTGAATATTCTCCCTTCATAAAGTTGTTCATTCATTTTTATTAAGCAACTTGTAAAACTTTACCGCTTCTCCATTTGGCTCTTCAGCACATCCACTTCTTCTCATCTCAGTGAAATCATTAACATTATTGTCACAATCATTTTCTCTAACAGATTGATGATGACTGTGCATATTAAATGCATCTTGCAACAAATCTTTCATGTCATATTCTCTTATAGAATGATTGTGAGAATTAGGAGGATGAGCCGAATTACTCGTGGAATAAGATCTATGAGATGTAAACTCCCCATGGAATATCCATTTTCTATAGCCTCGAAGAAAGCCAAAACAAGTAGATGCTCGTAGAAAACTTCAAGAATGTGCCAATTAATGTTAGCACACTTCTTACAAGGGCAAAGAAACATATTCTCTTGGATTGCATTCACAAAAGCTAAATTTAGAAAAGTTTCAGACTCCATTTCGATAATCGTTGCTTACACTTGACAAATTCATCCAACTCTTATACATTTCATATTTCTGGAATATCAATTTCACATGTTAATTGTTAATATTATAGAGAAAGTAAACAACTAAACATAAGCATTACATTTATTTTCACAATTTAAATTATAAATTATAATACAAACAAATTCAATGTTTATTTTATTAATCACATAAGCAACTAAACATAAGCATTACATTTAATGACATAAGCTTATGGTATATATATTATTTATTGAAAGATTTTGACTGTAGCAACCCTATTGTCATTCTATTCGTGTGATTTCATTTTGTTCATTCAAATTTTTTTCTTTTCAAAATCGTAACTTAAGTTTTGTTCCATTAATAGCCGCCCTTTGAGGCTTGAAATAAGCTTTTTCATATATATTGGAAGACTGCCACTGTCCTCGTATTGAACACGAAAACTTTAGGTAAAATAAAGAATCACAACTATAATACCTAAGAGATGTTTTTATGTTCTAAAAAAGCTTAAGATTTGTTGTTTATTATTCGGAAATGAGGCTGGAATCACGAGACAATAAGTGAAGAATTTGCAAGAAAGCCATATATATGGCAGTTCTCTCATAGCTTAAAATTTCATAATATTACTTCGGGGGTTTGTTTAAACAATCTCATATGCACACGCATGGGTAATTAACCAATTCTTAAAATCTGATACAAACCACGCAATTCATGGGTGAACAGCTTTATGGTTTGAGAGTTAAAGAGCTACAAAATCTGGAGAATCATTTGTAAATGAGTTTGAAGGGTGTTCGAATGAAAAAGGTAACAAAAGCACAATTTTTAAAGAAATTTTCAGAAAAAATCTTTTAGCAGTAATAAACTTGACGTATGCTTCATTTAAAAAAAAAAAAAACTTTTGCAAGAACAGATCTTAATTGATGAAATGCAATACCTAAGCCGAAAGGTATTTCTAAAACAACACTAGCTGACTTTTCATTTACATTGTTATTCAAAATCAAATAATTTCCATTGTTATACTTACATTGTGCCTTCACTTTTTCTTTTCCTTTTTTTCCAGGGGAACCTCATTCATCAGGAGAATATGCAATTTTCTTAATTAACCAAGTCCAATGACTTAATCACTCAAGGGAACCTCATTCATACGTGGCAAGAGGTGATTACAATAAGATTCTTTGTTATTCTCATTCAGAAGCTGTAGCAGCCCTATTGTTATTTTTCGGTATACATTTAACTTGATTAAAACATTCAAAATGGTCCAAAGATAACCCACCAAAGCAACCAAACAACATTACAGCAACCTACTAACCAACCGATAACAAGAATAAAAAACCTGCCAAAACTCCTTCACTCGTGCTCTCCAAGGTCATAACAAAAGAAATTTTCTGGTTGCAAGATCCATTGTGCATAGTCAAAAATTTCTATAACCCAACCTTCACTGCATATAGTTCCACTAAAAAGGTGGACATGGATCACATGACTCGGGAGAATTTAAATAAAACTTTTCAAAAAGATATAAAGTCCCTAAAGCAAAGAAATATTAGGGCACCAATTGGTCCCAAAAAGCATTCCCTAAAGCAAATCTCTAGTCGTAAATGACTAAATGTATATTTTGTCATCTCCTAATTATATTTTTGAACAGCTAGAGGCAGCAGAATCTTCAGCAAGTATTCTTTTTAGCTATGTTGCACTTAAACGGATACGGGGACGGGGACGGGAAACGATAATTTTTATAAGGTACAGGGACGATAAGGGTACGACATATAAAATAATTTAAAAATTATAAATATATATAAAAAATCATAAATAAAGTCAAATATCAAGACTCAAACCACAATATTAAGTTTAGAACAGTAAAATCCATAAACAAACCACAATATTAAAATGTCAAATTTCAAAATTCAAACCACAAAATTAACTCTAGAATAATAAAATCCATAATCAAATCATAATATTAAAGTGTCAAATCATAAGACTCAAAACCATAATATTAAGTCTAGAAAAATATTAAACCCAAATTAAACATTGTTAACATCTTCTGAGATTAACTGGCTCTCTAAATCCAGCTCATCAAGCAAGAGTTCGGTAAACTCTAAATATCCAACATCTCCCAATGAATCAAAAGCATCTCCACCAACATCCCACATCTTGGTTTTCTCATCCTCATATTGACTAGAACTCTTTGATAAAAGATGAAGATTGTAGTGGATGTCAACTAAATCTTCGACGCGACTCAGATTAAACTTATTCCTCCTAAGTGAGTAGATAAAAGAATAAGTGCTCCAATTTCTTTCACAACAAGAGGATGAAGTAGGTTGTCCAAGCACTTTGAAAGCCAACGATTGGAGCAATGGAATTTCGACACCAAAGTTAGCCCACAAAGATTTCGGATCCGAAGAACACCTCTTTGTAAGAGACATCAAATCTTCAAAAGGCCCGAGCTTAAGTGAGAAACAAGCAAATTCATCCAAGACTTTGTCATAATCATCATCATTTGGAAATAACCTACGAAAACATTTCATTATCTCTCAAGATATTTCACCATCTCTATGAGGAGCAACTCTACAAGGATCCTCGTTTAGCCAACCATCATTATAAAACCTTTAACATATTAAAAAGAAAATTACACATAGCATCAAAGAACTAGGAGTTGAAAATATAAATTCAAAACTAAAAAAGTTATGTATATACCTTGGATATAGTGAATAAACTAGACAATGAAGATGAGTATAACTCTTTGTCCAACGAGCTATAAGAATCTCATAAACAATATGATAAAAAGAACTAAAGTTTGTAAGATGACGTTTTTCCTTCTTGTAAATTTCACATTTCACTTTCTCAATCATGGAATCCCACAACTCGTATACCAAATGAAGACATGACTTATCAGTGTCGAATACTCTAAGTATGTCATAGATGGGCTTTGTAAAAACAATGATGTAAGTTATTTTATCCCACCAATCATCACTCACAAGCTTTTCTTTCACAAAGTTTGCTTTCACCATGTCATCCTCCCTATAAGAATTCCATTCATCACTAATGGCCATTGCTTGAAGTCCCTGCTTGATGAGCTTAAACCTCTTAAGCATCACAATGATCGAAGCAAAATGAGTATCGGCAACTGAAAGTAACTTAAGAGGACTAAATCTTTGAAAGATTACCAATCTCATGTTGTGGTTCATGATGAAATTCTTGATTTGTACGACATCCCCATGAATATCAGTAATCCAATAAATATGAGGATACATGCTCTCAATAATCTCTCCTGGCCCCTTGCAATTAGTTGCATTGTCAATAATAATCTGCACCACATTTTGATGACCAACCTCATCAATCACTTCTTTCATCAAATTTGCAATGAAAAAATTATCTTCGACATCACCAAAACAATTCACAACTTTAAGAAACACATGCCTATTTCCAGAAGTAGCCATGAAATTAATGAGAGGCTTTCTTGTTGGATCACTCCAACCATCACACACAATAGTTAACTCTTTTTCTTGCCATGTTGCTTTAATTGGTTGCAAGAGCTTTTCAACATTATTTTTTTCTTGTTGGAGCAATGTGGTTCGCAATTTATTATAACCAGGGGAACATAACCAGGAATATTGTGAGTTGCAGCAAAAGTGAAAGCCCTATGATAATGAGGATTTCTAGAAAGATTAAAGGCCAAACCACCGGTGTAGAACATTCTTGCAATTTCTTCATCTAATTGGGCTCTCATATTCATGTCGAATGATCTAGCAAGAGGTGACAAGCTAGGTTTTCTCTTCTTAGAAGAAAAATCAATATGAATTCCAGCTGAAGATTGAGAGGGCAAAGAAACTTCTCTAGTTACTCATTGTTTCTTTATATTCTCCCCACTCTTCTACCAACATTACCATTTCAAGTTTTTCATTTGTAGTTACCTTTTTTCAAATTGCAACTCATTCACCTGAAATTTGAAGCAAATGTGCCTTTATCCTAGTATAGCTTCTATTATGAGTTTCGCCGCAAATGTTATATAAAAAATTCCAAGTTCCTCCAACAGTCCTTCGCTTTTCTATCTTTGTCACATAATTCCACAATAGAGATAAATTCTCATTTTGGGACGATGAAATTAACTCACTCCCACTATTACTTCCAGTCTCACTACCACTTTGAGATGTCATATTTATACTAAATTAATATGTTTACATTAAACAAAAAGCATAATGAAACAAATCAATGAACACATAATGAAAATGAACTAAATAATTTAACAACATAATTAATTGATGAAGCACCAAACTGTTTACACCAAACTCTAATTTCATCTCGTAATGAAGCACTAAACCCAAAATATTTTTAACAACAATAAATAGTTAAACTAAATAATTTAAAATTATTTTTTCATTATATTTTTCAATCTCCAAACCCAAAGTGCTTCCCATTTCTCATGCCTTCTTTTGATGAACACAATTAGGAATGCAATGGAGTGAGAGAATAAATTTTGTCATTGTTTAATAGTTTGTACATTATGTTTTATTATCTTAATAGTTTGTACATTATGTCGTATTATCTAAAGTTACTACAAGTTTGTACATTCTGTTCTATACTTCTATTATCTTTAAATTAAATCATTAACTAGAAATTCCAAAAAGTTGAAGAAATAGAGATGGGGTAACAACACATGTTGAATCGAGTGGTTAAAAACTCAATCACTCTTTTGTTGGATTTCAATTTAGACAGATAAGAGTGAAAACATTGGGAGACTTTGAACTCCAAAATAAGATTTCACCCCAACTCTAAACTAAACTAAAATTAGAACCCAAAATAATTAAATAAGCACCGATTGAGAAAGCTACTTACCTTGTTTCAGTTTGGAACTTTGGGTGCTTCACCTTGCTTCACGGTTTCCTTTGTAAGCGAAGAGGAGAACTGGACTGGAGAAGTGTAAATGCTAACAGCTAAGCACCCCGATCAAATTAGGTTTTATTTTATTTTTTAAAATTTTTTTAATGCAAAATGCCAAAATTGCCCCTGAGGACGCATGTGATAGTCACATACTGTCCCCGAAACGTCCTCAGATCCCGATTGACCTTCCCCGAGATTTTTTAGCCTTACCTTGCCACTGTGGCACGACCCCCGTATGCCCCCGTGCTGGGGACGTATTGGGTACTTGAAACGGGACTGGTATGCCGTCCCCGTGCTACGTAGCTTTTTAGATAAATAAAATCAAAGTCCCAAAAAAGAAAAGAAATATGTGAAGCAAATGCAGGTTCTAACCTTCGTCGTCCCGAAAAAAGGTAGAGGAGATCCTTGGGTTTCAATCATCTTAGGAACTAGTAGGTGTATCTTTCTTCCAAGCTCAGACTTCAAATTGTGGCCCTGTTGCGCTTTTGGGTTCAATGGCTTACAAGCTTGAGAATTGTCGGGGGTATTTTTTTCTGAAGATCTTTCTAGACCGATGTACCGATGGCCGACACTGCCTTTATATGAGAGAACGGTTGCTAGTTCGGCTCGACGACGTTGAAGACCTCGACGATGTTGAACGATGCTTTATTGTAGCTTCGTGGGTAGTAAACGCAGAAACCAAGTAAAGAAAAAGATATGGAAAAGGTTACCCTTTGGGTAATTGGAGATAAAAGACATAAATGTTGTGGCGTTTTCAAATTACAAACGCCACTAATGTATTTAAAATTGCGGCATTTTCAAATTACAAATGCCACTAATGTTCTTAAAATTGCGGCATTTTATACAAATGCCGCTAATGTTATGAAGAATTGTGGCATTTAACAAAAATAACGACATTATATATGTCTATTACAACATTTGTTCCTAAAGTACGAGTTTTTGGCGGCGTTTTGAAAAAAAACACTGCTATTAAAATTTTGTGGCGTTTTCGTTGTAAACACCACAATATGTATAAACGTAGCGGTGTTTATTCTCAAAACACCACTAAAAACGCCGCTACAAATTTGTTTTGTTGTAGTGACTATACGACAACGGACGGATTGAAAATGATAGGAAAGAACCTCAATTCTAATATCGTTACCAACATAGCCAAAAAACCAAGCGGCTAATAACCATATCAACATTAGATTTAGTGATCTGAGTCTCAAGAAAGACACAAATGTCTGAATGGTTATCTCGAATATATTTCTTAGTAACCCGAAGGAAGTTCCTGCTACCATATCCCCGTGCATTCTAAACAAAGGTTTTTAAATCCATAAAATAAAAGGGGAAGGGATTGCCAAGAGGCAAGGGATCATTCAACCACGGTCGATTGGCCATTTAAGTCATTGTAAGGAGCATTATTATCCAAACTGGGAACCAAGTTAATCTGTGGAGAAGAGTACAATTGTGGCGTGTGAAGAATCCGGCCAGGGTCAGGTGGAACTGGAGGTTCGGTAAGGCTTATATTCATGGGTTAAGCATTGTCGGTGGTAATATGCATGGGTGATTTTCCGGAGGAAGGAGCTGAACCAGGAACACAAGGGGCTTCATTCGGGGCAATCGCAACAGCCATATGATTTGTGGGGTTGAGAAGGGGTCGATTGGGGTGGTTTTCAGTAGTAGTATTGCTCGTGCAAACTTTCGAGGTAGAAGTTGATGATTGGGAAACAGTGATGTTCATGTTTTTCTGGCCAAGAATTGTAACGAGAGGCTTGCCAAGAGAAATGGGGACTTTTCCTTTTCCTTTTGAAGGATCATGCAACGATTTAGGTTTTCCTTGTTCGAATTCACAGTCAGTTTAGATTTAGCACCAGATGTTGACTTGGGTTGTGGAGAGCTAGGGGGTTGGATAGGTTCAGTTTTGGAGAGGTTAACATGCGACGGGGCTTCGACATTTGATAATGGCGTAAAGCGAGATGGGGGAATCTCAGGTTTGGATTTGCGAACATTGGACAGGATTGGCGTCATTTTATTACAATATTTAAGAGATTGTAAATTCAATTACATCTAAGCACAATTACTTCGAATTTAGAAGTTAAAATTCTAAATAATTTAAATACTACTATAATTTATACTTCAAAAATATAATTCATAACTTAGTTTAATAAACAAACAATATATAATTACATCCCTAATATCAATGAAGAAATAATAACTTAAAGAAATTTGTGATGTAATATGAAAAGGACAAATAGCATATCAGAAGTGTAGCTAATCTGCAGAAGTCTTTTCTTTGATACAACTATAAAGTTAAGCAAAAAATATTAATCACAATTAATTGTCATCTAGCAAAAAGCACATATGTCTGTACCTTTAATTGTCAACTAATCATCCAATCAACACTCAATGTACCACGTGCTCAAGATTCCTTATATATATTCTTATATATAATATTAGATTTTATCACACATACGGTATTATTAAAATAAACCATTTTATATAAAATTTTTAATTTTAAAAAATTTATTTGAGAATGATTATAGGCGAAATAATGAATATTTTATATAAAAATCTTAGCTAAATATAAATTTGGTTTTAAAATTAATAGTTTTTATTTTATTTCAGAATTATACAAAAGGGTAAAATGAAAATATACTCATCATAATAATATTGAATATTATTTAGAGGAAATAAGATATTTATAATTTTTCAATTAAATTAATATCCTATTAAACTTATGACACCAATTCAGTTAAAAATTTAAAAATAATATAAATAAAAATTGTTATATTAATATATATTCTCATATTTATATAAATTTTATTAATAAATATAAAATGCTCATATGTTCATGTACTTTTTTTAACGCCAATATATCTTTTTCATATCATATAATATTTTTTCGTATGATATAACGTAGAGAACATTACCATATCTAATATATAATTGATGGTAGGTATATAGAGGGTACATTTTTTTATACGTTGAATCAATCAGATCAATATCTGCTTCAAACCTAAAGTATTATCAGGGCAAGGCATAGTGGAAAAGTCATTGAAAGTGAAAGCATTTTGAATTCACCAGTTACCCAAATATGAATTACTTACTCAGTTGTTTTAAATAATAATTATTCACAAATATGCAGTTGTTAAGGCTGATTCAGACAGAGATTTCGAAGTCTGTGATGTGTACTGTTGGGTTGCATGATTGAGCAAAACTATTAGAAATGAAGGTCGGACTGTTTAACATGTATTATTGAAATGATGAGCTTTTATTGTACAGTGCAATTACTTCATTCAATGTCACGGCCAATAAAACTCAGCAGCTGGAATAAATTTATATAAGGACTGATACCAAACATTATTCTTCATGCCGGTTTGCCTTGTCTTTTATATACTGGTCAAAATTGGGGTTTTAAGACCATATATACCAACTATAAATAAATAGATTAATCATTATTAAATTATATTAAAATTATTTTATTAATTATTATAATTTTAAGAATTACAAGAAGAATATTAGACTTTTGATTTTTATTATAAAATTAATTATCATGAGAGGTGACAAACGGGTCATT